AAATAAAAATATAATCTTATATTTTTTCATTTAAACAAATATTTTTCGAGTTACATTACATTTAATATGAGTAATAAAATTTATATTCCATTTTTTTCATTTTACGGTTACTTTTTATCATGTTATACTTACATTAGACACAATGTTATAAATGCATATGTGTGTATGTGTGAGTTTATTTATTTATTGTATCATTAAAGTGTAGTGTATATTGAGATACAACCGATAGAGTAGGTAATTGATTTGACGCTATATTATTTAAACCCAACTAAACGCTAAATTGTACATTCCGAAATAACAATCATATTATGTCAATTGCCACCGGAATATCTGGTAATATTTTTCTTTTTCTTTGCCTTAATCCCAACTACTTGGGGTCGGGCACCCTTATCCTAAGATTCCACTTGACACGATCTCCCACATCTTCTACGCTCACATCAGCTGTCCTCAAATCGCATTCAATAGCATCCCTCCATCTCTTTTTTGGTCTTCCTCTATCTCTTCTTCCTTCAACATTCATTTCTATAACTGTTCTTACAGCTTTCGATTCTTCTTTCCTCATACCATGACTAAACAATCTAAGTCTATTTTCTGTCATCTTATCCACGATTGACGCAACACCTATACTTCCTCTTATATGCTCGTTCCTTATCCTATCTTCTCTAGTCACTCCACTCATCCAACTAAGCATTCTCATCTCTGCTACACTTATTCTCTGCTCTACTTTCTTATCAACCGCCCAACACTATTAACCATACATCATAGCTGGCCTCACAATTTCATACTAAATTTAAAAACTATAATTAGTATTTATTCATATATTATATTTTAAAATCAAAGAACTACTAATCAGGATATAATTAAAGAAATAAGAGTTCATGTTGCTTTTAAAATATTTCACCAATTTCTCTAAAGGAAACACTATCTACAGATTTGCATCGAAGCGTTTCTTATGATAGTGATTTTAATCACTGTCAGATATCATCTATACTTGTCCCCTCTATGCCTCGTCCACACTGTGCCTCGACCCCACTGTGCTACCGTTTTTTAAAATATAAAGCGTAATAGATAACTTAAATAAAAGTAATAGTAATAATTTCCTAGTAAATTTTGGTATTTGAAAAGATTCTACAATTGAAATATTCAGAACTCAATTAATTTTAATGATTTACTTTAACTAAATGAACCATTCAAAACAAAGTTGTTAAAAAGATTTACTCAATTGAGCGTATAATATAATTTTATTATAANAATCAAAACAAAGTTGTTAAAAAGATTTACTCAATTGAGCGTATAATATAATTTTATTATAATTGTAAAAATCCATTATTAATTCAGGAGAAACTAACAATCATTTTTTTTAGACATGATTTATACTTAAATAAAAACCATAGTAATCATTATTTCTAATTAACTTTTGGCGGTAAAAAAGATTTTACAATGGAAATATTCAGAATTTAATTAATTTTAATGATTATATATCTAAAAAAGTTGTTAATAAGATTTACACAATTGAGTTTATTATAAAATTTGATTATAATTGTAAAAATCCATCGTTAAATTCAGGTGAAACTAAAAATCATTTTTTTTTTAAATTTATGATTTATATAGCAACATGTTAAAAAAAAATTTGTAATATTATAGTCTAGTAGTAGCACACACAAATAGAGAAAAAAATTTTTAAATTACAAAGTAAAATGATTTATTATTGTAGTTGAAACCTATCATATCAAACTTCAGTCGTTAATAAATATTTTGAAAACATTAGAAATTAATGATTTTAATTGTCTTTATGGAGAACATGTAATAACTAACTGTTTAATTGATAAATTAGAATTTTTTTTTTCAATTTTTGAGGGTAATATCTTCAACTAGATACAAATTGTAGTCATTTGACGTATAGTTGAAAAAAGTAGTTCAAGTTAGAGCAGAGAAAATAAATGACAGTCACAAAAAAACATCTTCTCGGCTTTGCATCGAAGCTAAAACTTAAAATATAGTAAAATAATTTTAATACGAATAAGAAATTTCTTCTTGCATGGGGCGACTAGAGTGATGGGATCCTTGATTTTTATTGAAGTTATTGAATCTAAATGAGATAAAAATCAAACGAGTTAAAAATTTATACTAACTTAAATAGAATTAAGAAAAAATGCAAAAAATTCATTGCCAAACGCGGGTTGGAACATCGTACCCCAAGCGTGTAAAACATAAGTGTTACCAACTCGGCAACCGTATGTCGCAACCTTCTGTTAAAAAATTGGCTATTTAAGCTAGTTCAAATTTCAAAGTTATTGTTCTCGACTTAAAAGAAACAAACAAATTTAAATAAGTTTAACTCTCTATGCTATATCAATTTTAATTTATATAATATTTATGAAAATCTGTACACCCCTTGTCAGGTATTTTAAAATAAAATAAAATACAAAACCCAGAATTTTAACACAAAAATAGCAACTTTTTGAATACGGTAGTCATTTTTACCATGAAGACAAATCCAGAGGTCAATTTTTTTTTTTTCAAATTAAAGTATATTACATTAGCTTTAATTTAAGATATATATAAAATTATCAGTCTTTCCGGAACATTTTCAAAAGTTAATTTTTTGTAAAAAAGTTACCATTTTGAAACCCTTCCTTTGGGCTGTTAAAGGGTCAAATATTCATAAAAATATATAAAATTATAGGTAAATATCTAAGGTATACCTAAAAAAAAAAATTATATTGATTCGGTCATTTTAAAAAAAGTTATGGCAATTTTACGTAAAAAAAAATGAAAAAAAAATCAAATCAGTAATAATTTGAAAACAATTTTTTTTTCTTTTAATTATTTTTTATATGTAATTAGTAATAATATAAAAAAATAGAACTGATAGATAAAGTCTAATTGCAGATTTGAAAACAACGCGAAAATTTGATTTAGATTAGTATATTTTTGCTTCTGATGAAAGTTCCTTGAAGTCCAGTGCATTCATTTATAGTAACAAACAGTTTTTATTGATGATTATTGTATCAAGCCCTTTAAATTTTTATACACGTAAAAGTAAAGCAAAATATAACTTCTTTATTATTTTTATAATTTTTCCGTTTAAATTACAATATTAAATTATTAAATATCAATTTCATACTAAATTTAAAAACTATAATTAGTATTTATTCATATATTATATTTTAAAATCAAAGAACTACTAATCAGGGTATAATTAAAGAAATAAGAGCTGATGTTGCTTTTGGAATAATCCACCAATCTCTTAAAATTAAACACTATCTACAGATTTGCATCAAAGCGTTTCTTATGATAGTGATTTTAATAACTGTCAGATATCATCTATAATTGTCCCATCTATGCCTCGTCCATACTGTGTCGCGACCCACTGTACTACCGTTTTTTTTTATAGTGATTTTAATCACTATCAGATATTATTATACTGGATCCAACTATGCCACATCACCACTGTACCGCGACCCCCCTGTGCTGGGTTTTTTTTTATAATATCTCCGTAAAAATCACAATATTATTGAATATCAATTTCATACTAAATTTAATTACTATAATTATTATGTATCATATATTATAATTAAAATCGGGATAAAATTAAGGGAATAAGATTTATGGTTCCTTTTGAAATAATTTACCAATCTCTTAAAATTAAACACTATCTACAGATTTGCATCAAAGCGTTTCTTATGATAGTGATTTTAATAACTGTCAGATATCATCTATAATTGTCCCATCTATGCCTCGTCCATACTGTGTCGCGACCCACTGTACTACCGTTTTTTATTTATTTATCAATCATGAAGTGTTATAAATAATGTTTATTCCTCTTGCCTTATAGTGGTGTAAACTTTATTTTTTCAAATGGTAACACACATTATTAACTTTGTTAATTTAATAGATTATGATTTAATTAACAAAATAACTAATTCTTTAACAATTTTTAAACCAATATTTTAGAAGTTATTAATATTTTTAGATACAAATAGGAGGAGGGTTGAGGCCGATAGATTTCTAGTGATAATAATAGCAGAACCCATGCCTCACCTAAAGTCGTTATTCTAAATTTTTAAAACCTGTCTCATATTTGAACCCCTGATATATAAATTTCTGTGGGTTCTTTATAACAACAATAAGTAATTTGAGGAAAAGGGTTTCATAATAATTATAATCCTCATAATTTAAAAAATTCAACTTGGAAGTATCAATCCTACACACCAGAGGATGTTTAATAAGTTGGGATTTTAATGTCTATAAGCCCTCATCGTTTTGATACGATTACATTTGCATGTGCCCATATCTTTGTCTCCCATAACATCATTGTACCGTTTAATAGACATATGTATATATAATTAACAGTGACATACAACAATACTAACAGGAGGGCGGACAGCACACATAAACACTTTTGCAATTCACGGCCAATGTGCCATAATAAAATATCCCTATCGACAGTTGACCTTTTACCATCATCGCGACCACTACTCTAGTCTGATAATTAACTTAACTTTTCTACCACGTATATAGTGTGTGTGTGTGTCGCCGTCAGCTTCCTGTTGGATTATATCATCTCTAGATGTCCAGCAGGTTGTATTATCTATTTAATATTTCAATCACTTAATAAATATTTATTTATATCGTTGTTAACCAAGAGTGTTATATATATATTGTAGTGCGATCCTTGGTAGTTTCTCAAATGGAATATAAATTAAATAGGAAACTTCAGTACCTAGAGGTAGATATAGCCTAGCCAGCTATCCCCTGTTGGCCCCTTAGAATACTGTTGACGGGCATTTAGGCTCAACCCCTAAATAGCGACGTAACAGTTTAAAAACATTTGAAACAATTACTGGGTAGTAGGCTGACACTGATGAAGTTATGATAATTTATATTCAGTCATTTGGTGGTGCATATTGAAAATTCCTAATTGAATAATTGGATTGATTATAGAATATCTAATATCATTGTTCCATTGTTTTTATATTTTTAAAATAACTACTAAAATAGTTCTCAAATTATTTTATTATTCTTTCTAGTTTCAATCCAATTCCTTTACAAATATTTCTTCAATATTTAAAAATAAATTTTTAGTAATAATAATTTACATACTATACTTTTTAAATTTAATTATTTCACTGATAATTTAAATTTAAAACTATTGTAATAATAACATAATGATTTGAGGTAATACTTAATTTAATTAATTAAATATTAATGTTTTCTTTTATACAAAAATTACATAGTTTAGACCACAACAGTGGATTTTCGTCTTTTTTCCGTGTCTTTAAACAATGAGCTCATTTTTATAAAAACGTTTTCAAAATTAAAATTACTTGTTTTACCTAACACATTTAAGTATATTCCAATAACGATCAACAATCCAGCCCATACATACCTAAAATAGGTTAATATAAGTGTATGAATTAATAAAAATAATAATGGTAATCGATACTCACTGAATAGTAAATGGTTTTGAAAATAACATAAAGGACACAACAATTGTTACTGCTTTGCGACAAGTAGTTACAGTTACAGCAACTAGTGCCCCACATGTTCTGATAAGTGCAAGAACAGCTTGAACACCAAAAAATCCAGATAGAGAGAAAAAGAATATGTATATGTATATCACAGGATTCTACTGAAAACAAATATATATATTGGAAGATAATTTTAATATATGTATATAATTTTATGCTATTTTAGTAACTTAAAATAAATTAATTTATTAGATTATTATAAAAATAATTTAGGCATAAAAAGTATAAATATTATATTAATGTCAGAATTTAAATTTAGGGCTTTTTTGAAACAATATAACATCTTAAATAATAATAGTTTCTTTTTGATAAAGTAAAAAATATTAATAAACACTATAAGATCCTTAAAAATTGATTTTATAATAGTAACTTTTTAGTTACTATTATAGTTACTTCATTTTAAAAGAAAGGAACTATATTGCTACAAATTTAGTTCTAATAAATTTTAATCACAATGATGACTCATGCTTGTTTCTTTCCCACATAAGACTGGCACTAGTAGGTTCAAATAAATTATTAAAAATGTGTAAGACTCCTAATTTTTTTACCCTTTTAATAATTTTATTAATAAGCAGGTTTAATATTTTAGAGTTATTTTTTTAATGACAACATAAACTATGTAGCTATTTAATACTTGGAACATATTAATAACCTCAATGCAAAATTTTGTTCCTTCATTAAGTTCTCCACTTAAAATCAATATTAGAAATAAATATAGAAATCCTATAAAATATGAATACAATACAATTTCTGCATTAGTAGCATTATGTTTTTTCATCATTTTTTCTTGAAAGTTTCCAATAAGTGCATCACAAAACAATGCCAAACTTATTAAAATGACACCTACAAAATTATATAAGAATTATAAAAAATTTTTTTTTGCAAACAAAGTTAAAATACTGTAAAAATATTACAATGTACCTAAAAAGTTGAAATGAGGAGAAATTTTATTGTCTGCTAAAGTAAAAAGAATTAAGCCAATACACATGCTTAAAGCTGCTACAGTGTCAATAATTTTATACACTTTTTTCTGAATTAGTACACCACCAATCATTACTGGTATTAATTTACAACATTTAAATATAACTTGAGTAGGATAATTCAAGTAACCAAGTGAAGCATTAGAAAATCCCATTGAACCTAATAATATTACACCTAATAAAAGGTATAATTTAATAGGTATTCTAAAAAATAAAAATAGAATATTACTTTAGCACATATTTTAAACTTATTGTATAAAAACAATCATCATCAATAAGCAGAATTCAAAAAATTTAAATATTCAAGTATAATAATTAGTATTATTCTGAGTTTAAATTTTAATACAAATATAAACTCAAATATAAACATAAAGGAAACAAATGTATACAATGATTTTCAACTATTTAAATACTTTGTAAAAATGGTTAACTTTTTTTTTTGAATACATCAAATATTTTTTATTAAGTTAATTTTATAGTTTGACACTTTGGAGTTTTAGTAAAAGAAAAAAAAACCTTTTTTAAACTAAACCATGTTGTTACTCAAATGGCATGAATTTGATTATACAAGAAAAAATAATACATTTTTGGATAAAAGCTTACATTAACATAATTATGGAAATCAAAATATATTGTTGTTTTTGGCATAAAAAACTTTCAATGTATAAAAAATGGTAGACAAAGTTTTTTAATTTTAAAAAAATATTCTATTTAATGATTTACATTTCAATTTTATACATAGAAGATTTTTCATTTTATGCAACAATGTGTTATTTTGAACAATGGCCATAAGATAAAAATGAATTTAAGTTATAAATATAGTTATAGAATTAGTAAAGCTTATATTATTATATAAAACCAAATTTGTTTTTAATAAAAAAATTTTAGTTGGTATATTTTACAATTATTATTAGTTAAAACTAATAATAGTTCAATATTAAATTTGTTTACCTTCTTTGAATTTTATTAAATTTACTTTCTATGTATCCGAAAATAGAATAATTTAAAAATTGAACAAGAGTTAAATACCATCCAAATGGTTTGAACCCTTTAACTGCAAATATTGATTCCTGAAAATATATAAAACAAATTGTTTTGTTATATATACTTAAAAATATAAATCAAAGTTACTTACTTGTAGATATCCATATGGTATGAAGAAAATAAATACTACAAACGAACAAATTAAAAATTGCCATAATTCAGATAAATGGCCTATATTAACCCATAGCAATTTCCTTGGGGGTTCTTCTTTTTTTAGAGAAAAATAAGAATTATCTTGATAATTTGATTCATTTATGAAAATTTTAGTTTCCATTCAAACTACAAATTTTGTTTACTTTTTAAATATTTTGAAATTGGTGCTACTCAACAAAAAGTATTTATTCAAGTTTAATTTTAACAAATCAATTAAAGTGAAACTAAATTTACTTTTATTTTATATTAAAAAATAAATAATAATTTTAGATTATGACATGTTATAGTTTTTAATAATAAATTAATTGACTAAAAAATGTAGATAAAAGATGATGTCAGAAAAATTGAAAAACATTTAGACGTTAGGGAGAAAATTATAATGATAATAATATGATAAGTGTATGATATACAGAATGGATTTGGATACTGATAAAAATATACATAGCAAGCAGTGTTGCCAGACCAAAAAAAACTTAATTCCCTCTTAAACTTGTAAAATTTCCCGGTTTTTAAAAAAAATTCCCTCCTTAAATTTTTTATTTCAAATAAATGTAAATTCAATTTTCTTTTATTTCTTGTATATTGACTATTGTAAGTTGACCATTATAATATGAAATCCTTAAATAATATTGGTTTTATCAATTGTTATTCCCATAATTAATAATATTTAAAAACAAAATATGTTATAGAATTCATAAACATATCGTTTCAAAATACATTTTTCAAATAAATCGCTACTTTTTGCATATTATACCATTGTAGCCTCTTTGAATGTAAATATTCAAAATAATAAAAATTTAAAAATAGTTAGATTGAAGACCACAGTCCTCACTCCTCTTAATTATATAAAATAAGGAATATTATTGTTTTTATTTACCTGGCAAGCAGAACAACGAGCTTTGAAAATATTTTTAGGAATACATTCCAACCATCCCTTAAATTTAGAGCAATTAAGCCAATTATTATTAAAACATTTTGGTCCTTTAATTTTTTTTTTGGTGGAGTACTATTAAATACATCATTTTCTTCAAAATTATCCATGGTTAAAATAATGGAAAATGTTAAGTATAAAACATCTATGAAAATAATAATAACTTATAACTTAAAAATTAAAACTAGTTGTGACTTAAGAATAAAACATTAATAAGTTTTTTTTTGCTGATAGACAATAGAGATCATATCAGGTACTGCAACATTGATAGGTAAAATCGATTTATTCCTAATGTTCATAATTGTTTCAACGGTTGTAGATAGGATCCAAGGACCGATTGTGATATTCTTAGATAGTATTATCAATAGGATTTGTTAACATAAAAATTAATTTATCTATGCAAAAATAAAAATTGATCATTTTTTTGTGAAAAATAACATGTATACTTTTAAATAATTTTTTTTATAAAAGTAAAAATATCGATTAATAACTGAAGTTCCTAAGTTTCCTTTTTTAGTACAATTTTAAAATTTCTTCCCTTTTTCCCTCCAATTGATTACGGTCCCATATTTTCCCTCTAAACGGGAAATTTTCCTCTATCTGGCAACACTGATAGCAAGAGCGTACAGAAATGCACCGTCGATTATTATGTGGCGCGATTGTTCGATTTGATAATCACACGTTAACTTTGATAATTAATCAGTGTTATTTATTATCAATAATTTTTAACCTTGTTGATTAAAATTAAGTTGCATTAAGTTTTTTATTATGAATGATAAAGATGCTAAAATTAATTAAATTCTAGTTATAATTATTTTTTGCTACTTTCTTTTATAATATATTTTTATACAAAAATTAATTCTGAGCTTGATTGTAATGCTGTAGTTCCAACATCTATGTTTTAATCATTTTTTAATATGTTAGATTCATATGTATCAAGTTCAATATTAAATAACATTATGAAGTGTTTGTTGATGTTAATTCAATTATTTGTCTGTTGTTTACAATTACATATATGTGATTACATTTAACGGATTTTATTTGATAATCTGGATATGTACATTAGTAAAAATATGTATATATAACACTCAAGAATTTTTTTATATTTTACTATGTATCTTTGATGTTTTCACTTTTAATATTTTATTCATTAGTATTATAATGATTTATGTTTAGATTTAGAGATGTATTTGAGAAGTAAATTTACTCTTAGTATGTTTTACAATTCTTTCAATTTTTTTGTCTCTTGTAAAGTATTTTAAGATTATGATAATTATATCTAAACTTTCTACCTTACAATCATTTAAGTAGTGATATTTAATTGTTTTATGTCAAACCCAGAATATATAGAGTACAAGTTTGACAGAAGAGAACACAAAGTAAGTGAAATGAGGAGATCAGTGACAATAGATGAGAATGTGATAAGAGAGATGAAAAGTTTTAAGTATTTAGAATCGTTTGTGCAAATTTGTGATTTCAACGAAAATATAAGATAAAGAATTAAGTGTGGATGGGTGAAGTAGAAAAAAGCATATGATTTTTTATGATGTAAGAGAATTACTTTGAGACTGAAAAGTAAGTTCTAATAGACTGTAATGAGATTAACTACAATGAAAGTTTCAGGGTATTGTACGGTTGATAAGAAAGTAGAGCAGAGCATGAGTGTATCAGATACGAGAATGCTTAGATGGATGTAGTGATTAGAGAAGGAATAAGGAACGAACATATAAGAGGGAGTATAGATGTAGCGTCAATTGTAGATAAGATAAGAGAAAATATACTTAGATGGTTTAGTCATGTTCTGAGATGAGAAGAATCGGAAGTTGTAAGAACAGTTATGGAAATGAATGTTGAATGAAGAAGAGGTAGAGGAAAATAAAAAAATAGATGAAGGAATGTTATTGAACGTGATATAAGGACTGCCGATGTGAGTGTAGATGATGTGGACGATTGTGTCAAGTGGAAGTTTAGCATAAGGGTGGCCAACACTAAGAAGTTGAGATTAAGGCGAAGAAAATGAATTCCTATAGATTTTCTATAAAAATAATATACTTTGCTATAATCCTTTGCTTAACTTAATTGCCATTTACATGACTAAAAAAATCCCCAAACTTTATTGTGTCTGGTTTTGTGTGTTTGTGAACGCATTATAGTAAAATTAATACTTTCTCAGCTTCGCATCAAAGCCAAAAATAAAGCTCATTAAATAGTATTCAGAAAATATTTTATTTTAAACACAAAAACTTTCTAAAAGCATAAAAAATTACATTTTTAAAGATAAAGAAAAATCATATTTTTAATCTAAAATAATTATTTAGTTTTATAAAACATTCTATGTGGAAACTGACATATGTAAAAATTGTGATCATTACAAACATTTAATACGATTATTTTTGTTACTTAATTAAAAATATTGAAATTATTTATGTTTAGTAAAAATTTACCATATTTTAACTATTAACTAGTTAATATTTAACTATATTAATTAGGACAGCCATTTTTAATAGCATAATTAACTATATTAGTATAACCATTTCTAGTAGCTTCAAAAATAGTACCGTTACTCCATGGACAATTATTTTCATGAGCATATTCTAAGCATACTAATTGATTATTTGCAGCTGCAAGTTTTGTTGTGCCTTCGTCCCACTTACTATAATTTTCATGAACATATTTTAAGCAGTTTAAATTGCCATGTGCGACAGCTCCACTCTTAGTTCCTTCATCCCATTTACACCTATTTTTATTTGCAAACATCAAACAGTTTAAAAAATTACTCGCAGCTGCTTCTCTTGTTATGCCTTCGTCCCACGGACACCCATTCATACTAGCATAAAATAGGCAGTTTAAATGTCCATTTGCTGCAGCTCCTCTCATGGTACCTTCAACCCAACCACATCCATGTTTATGGGCATATTTCAAACAATCTAACTTACCATGCAAAGCTGCTACAGCTATTGTATTCTCATCCCAAACACATCCATTTTCGTGAACGTATTTCAAACAATCGATACAACCACTTGCTGCAGCAGCTCTAGTTGTACCCTCATCCCAAACACATCCATTTTCGTGGACGTATTTCAAACAATCGATAGAGCCACTTGCTGCAGCAGCTCTAGTTGTACCCTCATTCCAATCACATCCATTTTCGTGGACGTATTTCAAACAATCGATACAACCACTTGCTGCAGCATCTCGAATTGATCCTACACCAAACATACATCCATTTTTGTGAATATATTTTATAATATCTAGATTACCCTTAACAATAGCAATTCTCATGATATTTTGATTCCATTTACAACCATTTTCACACACATATTTTAAGCATTCTAAATTACCACTAGAAGCAGCTGCTTCTGTTGTTTTTTCATCCCATGGACATTTATTTTCATGTGCATATTTTAAAATATTTAAATCACCTCTTTTGGCAGCCGCAGTAGTTGTACGTTTATCCCATCTACAGCCATTCTTATAAGCATATTGTAAGCATTCTAAATTACCACTAAAAGCAGCTGCTTCTGTTGTTTTTTCATCCCATGGACATTTGTTTTCATGTGCATATTTTAAAATATTTAAATGACCATTTATGGCAGACATAATAGTTGTTTTTTCATCCCACGGACATCCATTTTCATGTGCATATTTTAAAATATTTAAATGATTATTATAAGCAGCTATATGTGTTATGCTTTTATCCCACGGACATGCAATTTCATGTAAATATTTAAAAGTTTCTAGATTACCATTTTTTGCAGCCATACAAGTTAAAGTTCTATTGCACGGATATCCACTTTCAAGGACATATTTTATAATTTCTAGATCACTTTTATAAGATATCATATTAATTGTGTGTTCATTGAATTTGTATCCATTTTTGTGAACATATTTTAATATTTCTAGATTACTAATCATAATAGACATTTCTGCAATATCTAATACATTCCATTTACAGCCATTTTCATAAGCATATTTTAAGCATTCTAAATTACCTTTAAGAGCAGCTACAACTGTTGTATTTTCATCCCACGGACATTCATTTTCATGTGCATATTTTAAAATATTCAAATCACCTCTTTTAGCAGCCGCAATAGGTGTACGTTCATCCCATTTACAACCATTTTCATGAGCATACTTTAAGCATTCTAAATTACCACTAGAAGCAGCTGCTTCTGTTGTGCTTTCATTCCACGGACATCCAATATGATGAGCATATTTTAAACATTCTAAATATCCAAGATTAGCAAAAAATTTTGTTGTGGTTTCATCCAATTTATATCCATTTTCATCAGCATTTTTTAACAATTCCAAGTATTCATTTTCTTCAAATTTTCTCTCCGTACTTTCTATAAATTGGTATATTTGTTTGTCTTCCGAATTTGTATGTTGAATGGCTAAATTAACACAATTATTAATTAATTCTGCATTATTGAAACTTTATCTAAGTAACCTCAAAAAATAACTAATTAAGAGAGATTATTTGAAAATTTTTGCTTCTTTTAAAATCAGAAAAATAACTAAAAATTTTGAACTAGCTTAAATAGCCATTTTTATCTACTAACATAAAAACGTTTGCCGTGTCGGTAACACTTGTGTACTCCAAGGAATGCTTGGAGTATGACGTCAGGACCCTCTATGACAATGCATTTTTTTCTTAATTATTTTTAGTAAGAAAAAAATTTTAACTTATTTGTTTTTTATCGTATTTAGAATAAATAACTTCAGTACAAGGTTCCAACGCCCGTATATTAAGGAATTTTTACTACCTGCTACCTGTATTTACAATCCCTTGTGTATTATACCTATATATTAACTCAAAAATTTGAAACTTTAAATGTTTATATCTAATAAGCTAATAAAGTTATATTAAAAATTCAAATGCCATTTACTATTAAATTAAAAACTCAAACATTTTATTAAATTAAAAATATGTGTTACCATTTAAAAAAACAAAGTTGACCCCCTTCCAAGGCATAAGGGATGAACTTAAAAAGTATTACATAGTTAAAAATTCAGGAATAATGTGTAACTAAAGATAATGAAAAAAAAAAATGTTTAAATTATTATTATTCTGCAAGTAATTGAGTGGGTTATGATAAAAAAATCACCCTGTATATAAAAAATTCGCATCAAAGCTAAAAAATTGGCTATTAAAGCTAACTCAAATTTAAAAATTACTTTTTGGAATTTAAAAAAGTAAAAAAAATTTAATAAGTTTAATTTTTTATATCTTATGAACTTTATTCAATGTCAATTAAATTATATAATATTCACGAAAGTCAATATATTTTCCTAATAAGATATTTTAAAATAAAATAAAATACAAAACCTAGAATTTTAATAGAAAAATAGCATATCTTTAAATACGGTAGCCATTTGCGTATAGAAGATAGGTCGTCGGGAAAAATTTTTTTTTTCATTTTCTAGTGAGAGCTGAGAAAAAGTAGTGACAGACACACACAAAAAAAAAAACGCATCATAGTAAAATTAATACCTTCTCAGCTTCGCATCGAAGCTAATAGACAAACGAAAATAAAATGATAGTAAACTTTAAAGAACTTTAAAAAAGAATTTACCTTCGTTAAATGCCAAACACGATATTACAAATAAAAAAGATATTTGCCATTTCTACAATTAAATAAAATAATCTTTTAGATTTTAATCAAGCTTAATGCACGTAAATCAAGAATACTCATGTAAAGTGTACATACCTTCATTTTTGAAGTGTTAAATTTTTATAATTAATGACAATTTGTCGATTACTTTGTTATATAAATATAAAATCACTGACATAATAAATATTATTTTTATATTTTTAAATTTAATAAGAACATTTTAAGTAAATATTAAAGTTTACCTTTCAAAAAATTGTATTTTTAGTTAACCTGTTACATTATTAAATATACAAAAGTCGAAAACAATAGTTAAATCGGCATTGGCAGGAACACTAATTTTATTTAATAAAAAAAGGAAAATTATTTATACTATTTATAAAAATTATTTCTTTTCTATTTTATCATGTTAAAAATTAAATTAAACTATGCTTTAGTGATGTATTAATAATAAAACTATTTTTTTAAATTACCCTATATTATTCATAACATAAGCATACATAATAAGTTGTCGGAGAAAATAAAGATTTTTCAACGGTAACCGTTGCGTCTTTACCCACGCGTCAAATTCGACCTTACTGCCCTCTGCCGGCATAACGGGTCAAATGGGCTTGTTCTTGCCGCATATCAACTTGTGTTGCTCCAACGCTTGATGACCTCTAAGAATATGCTTTTTAGGCTGATCATCAAAGCTGGTGAAGCAACGTTTGCAAGTGTATATGCGACCTAGGTGTTTGGTTTTTTGGCTGCGCACAAGCCTTGAAAAATCGGAAATGTACGCGTAATGTGATTTTTCAGAGTCACCGATGTACAACAGGTCAAAATTATTCTGTTGCTCTAGGTCGGCAACTCTTAGAGGATACACCAACCACTTCATCTTAACGTCGTCTCGTTCCAAGCCGTACACGTTGATAGACACGTTAGGGTTTCGTCGCTCAAATATTTTAATTTGGGACATGGGTGTGGGGAACGACAACCCCGTAAAATCATACCTGTGTTCCTCATTAAAATATTTTTGATTAACACGTGTATTATTATTAACCCCAACGTGCCTTGCCAAAATGGACAACTTGAAACAAGACTGATCGATATTCTGTGGATTGATGATTGCTTTTCTATTATTAATTTCAGGCGAAATCGGAATATATGATGAGTCGGCGAGGGGCGTATACTTGTATACGCTGAGCATAAGACCGTCGATATGCGATAGAGAAAAGCCACTACCCCTCCCCGAGTACGCGTCTTCCTCGGCAAACATAACCTCAAAATCTTCATCGACCGCACACCCGATATCCGTATCGGATAGCAACGCCCTAGCCCGTGTCTTGAAGGCACGGTCTTCGGACGGTGCTTCTGATCGAGGTATATGGTATGAGGCCTCCAATTTGAGATTATACTTGATCGGACGGTTACCTACAATTTCAGCGAGTCTGGCCACCAGCCAGGTTTAACGGCGCGCAGAAAATCTCGATAGCTCGCCAAATTTTCCACGTTCTTCCGGTAAAACCAAACGGCTCCCCGCTCTAATGCGGAATCGATCTCGGTGAAATCACGGATATCCGTCAATTGCATACGTAACCTTTTCGACCTAACCGCGCTATTGTTGGCCCTACTACGCTTAGCCGCCTGACATGATGAAACAGATGTCACGGAAGTAGCTTTAATCAAAAATGAAATAAATTATTTATTTATTGGAAAAAAATAAATAAATAAATAAAGATAGTAGGGGTGGTAAAATTAAAGAGATATTAAAATGTTTATAATTCTAAAAAATCTACATACCTGGTACAGAAGACGTTTGCTTGTTCATGATTTTTTATTTGCGCGTGTAAAATATTAAAATAATAAATTTATAATTTTCAAATAATCAACTGTGCGTTAACGTCAATTAAACTCGTATGTGACAGGATACAGAGCGTTTAACCGGTTATATAGTAAAAAAATTAAATGCGTAGGCGTGAAAAAAGACAACGTTGCCATTTTTCTCATAAAATGCATACGACAGTGACCATTAATATATGGTAACATCTTTGGAAATATGCTGACCTAAGCGTCTGGTAACCAACGATAAAATACTATGTAAAAAATAAATGCAAACGACAATGATCATTACTGTACGGTGACCTCTTTGATGTTTGAAATATGCTGACGTAGCGTCGGTAGGCAATGATAAAAATACTTAGAAAAAGATAACTTTGATAAAAAGCAGACATCAATTATAAAATATAGACGGTAATGTGGGTTATAATATGGCGGTACCTTTGATGTTTGAAATATGCTTAGCTATGCGTCTAGTAGCCTATGATAAATTTTTTAGAAATTATTTATTATTTACAATCTATAGACGTGCGGCAAGTTTGTTTACGTCGGGTTTCATTCGCACCCCTCCCATTAGGTTAGTTTAAGTTAAGTTTCATTACCCCTTCGCTCATTAGGACTTGTTGAGGAGATCCTCCTACCCCCGACATATGTTAGTTTTCATTGGGTTTCAACCATTATGCGCACCTCATACCAAATTCGGTTTACCCACTTAGGTGTTATCACCGAAGTATTGTTACCAACGATTGTATGTAGGACGTTCTCAACGGTGACAATTACTTAATTGTAACCACCGATAACGACCAGAAGCGTATTTATGTATTTACCGCTTATAGGCCTGTAGAAAATTGCCGCCCTTAATTATGATAAAATAAAATTTAATTAGGTAGGTATGCAAAACAAATTGAATTTATATTTTAAATACAAAATCATAATTATTAAAATTGGAAAAAAAGGAATAACAAAATATTGGTATCGGAATATTTTAAATTTATTACATAATAAATTGCTGATTTCCTATTAGACGATCGGTTTACGTCGACATTTGGTTCTTGCAAATGTGTCTATTAAATCTTCACAATTCAATTCGCTTAGCATTTCATTCTCTATCGAAAATAATGCTAAATTATTCAACTTGTCATCAGTTTGGGTGGACCTTAAATAGTTTTTTACGCGTTTGAGGCATGAAAACGATCTCTCGGTAGTACAATTGGACACTGGTACACTCACAAAAATCCTTAATGCTGTGTCAATATTTGGAAATATTTCAATGTGTAAACTTTTTTCTCTTAAATACTGGCACAGTGTGATAGGAGTTAAATTATTTACGTCAATATCGATATCACTATTCAATAAATAAGATTGTAAATGTAAGCATTCTGACGAAAAAGTATTGTCTAAATCATTCGGGTACATTTTTTGCAATTTCTCAGCAAACTTAACTATTTCCAAAGAATTTAAAGATGTAATTTTTAGTAGTACTTCAAATATATCACAAAACGCTTTGAAGGCCTGTTGTCTTTTCTTAAGTTCATTTGTCATCTTATCAATAATTACGTAAAATGTTTCAACTCGAAATTTATCCCTACCAATTAACTCGGTTGGTTGCTCAGTTTTTTCATCGAAGTGTAATTTTTTTTTTTTTTGTCGAGATATACCAAAATTGTACTCGGTAGTCTTTGATATTTTTTTTGCTCTAGTTTCATATTCATCAAAATTATCTCGGGTTTTTTGAACTAGATTAATTAGTGATGTATAAATCTGAGAAACTTTATCATTTCCAATTTCAACACATTGTAATTGTTTATTAGATGCATTAAATCGTTCTAATATATGATTCCAAAAAATCATCATAAATGATGTTTCTAACTTTTGCATTTGATTATAAAGACCATTTGACTCATTTCGCGTAACACATTTTTCAAAAGTGTCATCCTTGATAGTGATCAATGCGTTAATAATTTCATCCCACGAATTATATAATGCTCGACATGCGTCTGCGCGAGCCGACCACCTGGTGTTTGATAAACTCTTAATTGTATTAGCATTACGTTTCATATTTAATTGCAAAATTGACCATCTCTGCGTTGATGCGGAAAAAAAATTATATAATTGTTGTATAAATCCAAAAAAAATTGATGCTTGTGGACAACTTTCTGCAGAAGATATGCCAACCAAATTTAACGAGTGAGCGCTACACGGTACGTAATAAACTAGTGGATTAATTTCTTTGATTCGAGCCTGAACTCCACTGTATTGACCTGACATATTACTAGCATTATCGTAGCTTTGCCCTCGACAGTCAGAAATGTCAATATCATGAGATTTTAAAGTATTAATAATGACATTAGTTAAATCTAAAGCTTTATGTCCTGGATTTGAAACAAAACATAAGAATCGTTCTACAGGAAGACCAGTTGCGAGGACATATCTCACCATAAATGATAATTTGTCGACGTGCGAAATATCTGGCGTCGAATCAATACTTATGGAAAAATATTTTGATATTTTTAATTCTCTAACAATATTATATTTTAATTTTTTCATCATTAACAAAATAAATTCGTCACATATAACGTGAGATAAATATGACGTAGAGCCACTGCCTTTACTTCCAAAACGAACTATATGATCGGCTAAAAACGGATCAAATTTTGCGATTAATTCGAGTGACATTAAGTAATTACCGTTGTGTACAGAACCAAAACACGAATCATGTCCTCGAAAAGGAAGACCACGAGAAGCTAACGATTTAATAGTTTCGACTACCCTTTTCAACACATTTCTCCAATATTCGATTTCTGTGTCTAATTGTTTAATCAATGAATTATCAATGCGCCCCAAGACATTACCTCTATGTTTTAAATTCATAATAGCATCTCGGTGCTCTTTACTATTTTCATGGTAGCTGAAACGGACAGTAGCATTTTTCCAATCATTGAACCCTTCAGTAACAAGTTGAGTTTCTAAAGATGTTTGAAATATCCGACAAGGCCCACAAAAAACTACTCCTAAACTTGGAGAATAAACTAACCATGAACGAACAATTGTTTCTCCATTAATTAATCGTCTATTAAACATAATTTTGGTCAAATATCTTGTTTTATCAGAATATATCCGTTTCGAGTTAATAAAGTCATTTGTCATATTTTGATTAAAACCATTTTTTGCAATATAGTCACGAAATTCGTCGTTAATAACCCATTTAGCTGGGTCTATCTCCAAAATGGTTTCATTTACTATCATATTAGTCAACTCATTTGACTCACAACTACCTTCTGGTTCAACATTATCCACTTCAATAGATTCACTAATTATTGTTGTTTCACTGTCACTAACCTGAAAATCTGTTTTCTTCATATTAATATCCATAATGTTACTACTATTACTACTACAAACACCAGAAGTAGAAGCTGGATTTTTAAAAAAATCAGTCAATTTTTGTGTTTTATTTAAAACATTTTGCAGTTTTTCACTTTTTAATTTGGCAATTTTTTTGTATTGGTCACCACTTAACCGTTTTCTATTCGAACTCATGCTCACAAAATAAAAAGAATATTTTCGAAAAAAACGACGACACAGCTGCAGCGGTACGCACTCAGCACTTTGCAGCACGGTCAGAACGCACAGGCGACAGTACGATAGACCACAGACTGAAATCACTTCTCATTTCTCAAGTAATAAGATAAAAGATCGGTCAAGAAATTTTTCGTAGAACCACTGCACTGAATGTTGATATTATTAGATTGTTAATATGTACTGTAGATAACTCACTGACCATTTTTTTGACGGCGACGGCGTGAATATTTCCGGTAGACAGCGATAAGAAACTTTAAAAATAAATAAATTCGAAATTTATTTGGAACCAATGTCATTGTTTTCAATACTTTAAGATACTTTTGTTGGCTGAATAAAAATAAGTTTCACCGAGTTAATATGCATGGCCATCATTATTGAAAAAAAAAATCCCATGAAAAATTTGCCGCTGTAGGCACATGCCTATAGTGCCTGCATATAAATACGCCACTGTTTGTAATAATGCAATTGTAAGAGTGGTAAAACAAATTGTTGTCTGATAATACGGGAGCCATCTCAATGGTAGATTTCGACCATAAGAATGACCACACACCGCATAAACAAACAATATATATAACAATTATTATTATATGCATTTGTGCTAGAATATTTTGATGGTTAGTCGTATTGAATAATGATGTAGATTTAAGGTATATTAAAATAAATTAAAATACAATACAAAGAATTTTAANAGGTATATTAAAATAAATTAAAATACAATACAAAGAATTTTAACACAATAATAGCATATTTTTGAATATGAAAAACCATTTTCACTATATCTCGAAAAATTTTTTTTCATAATTAAGTATATTACATAAGCTTTAATTTAAGATTAAATAAAAGTATTCCTATTTCCGGAACACTTTCAAAAATTAAGTTCTACCTTCTATATGCATTTTTAAGTCTTCAACCCTCCCTGTATTAAGAGAAATGGTCCAATTAAAATGAAAGGATGTCGAATGAAAGAGATGTATAAATATTATTCATCATAAAAAAAGTTTATTGATTTATACATTTTATCTTCGATTCGAAGCGGAGAAGGTATTAATTTTACTATGATGTGTTTTTTTTTTTTTTTTTTTTTCTGTCGGACGTTCCGAAGTCGAAAAATTCGTGATTGCGTTTAACAGCCCGAGTGACGCAGGGTATAAGGGACAACATCACCTCTGGCAACAGAGGTGTTCTTATTAAGCATACGGTTAACGCCCCAAGGGGCGTTATTATTTTAAGTTTTGTGTGAGTGTTTAGCACATCGGTGCACAGTATCGNTTTTTCACTTTTTTTTCTTAAAACTTCCATAACTTTTAGAAAAATTAACAAATCTACATAATTTTTTTTTTATACTAAAACTTTAGATATTTTCCTTTCATTTGATATCATTTTTTTGAAAATCTAACTCTTATTCTGCTCACTGGGCGGATTTAAAGTAGTAACATTTTTACAAAAAATAACTTTTCCAACTTAATTTTTGAAAATGTTCCGGAAATACTGCGTCCTTTAAACATATATCAAATTAAAGCTTATTTTATGTACTATAAAATGAAAAAAAAAAATTTGTCCCGACACTTTATCTTCTATGTGCAAATGGCTGTCGAAATTATAAAAAAAATGTAATATTTGCGATAAAAATCACCTTTTATAACGATGTTTTTTGTACTTAAAACTGCCATAACTTTTTCAAATATTAACTAATCAAAATAATATTTCTTTATATTGAAACCTTAGGTAATTTTCTTTCATTTGATATCATTTTTTTTTGAAAATCTAACACTTATTCTGCTCACAGGGGGGATTTAAAATAGCAACTTTTTTACAAAAACTAACTTTTTCAACTTAATTTTTGAAAATGTTCCGGAAATACTGCGTCCTTTAAACATATATCAAATTAAAGCTTATTTTATGTACTATAAAATGAAAAAAAAAAATTTGTCCCGACGACCTATCTTCTATGCGCAAATGGCTACCGTATTCAAAAATATGCAATTTTAACAAATTTTTTTTTTTAATTAAACACTATCTACAGATTTGCATCGAAGCGTTTTTTATGATAGTGATTTTAATCACTGTCAGATATCATCTATACTAGACCCAACTATGCCACGACCCCACTGTGCCGCCACCCCACTATGCTGGGTTTTTTTAAACTATATTTATTTTTCACTTTTTAGTTTCATGTTATGATAGTAGTTACTATCAATATCATGGTTGTAACGGGTAACGGGAAATCAGGGTTCGATTCCGGGAAGGGAGTCTGAGAAACGGCTCTCACATCCAAGGAAAGCAGCAGACGCGTAAATTACCCACTCCCGGAACATGGAGGTAGTGACGGAAAATGACGATACTGGATTCATCCTTTGTAATCGGAAAGAATGAGTTCTATATTTTTAAATAAGAATAAAGTGTGTTAATATATATTTTTAATAGTAATTAGAATATATATATATACATGTAAAGCGACTTAAGTACGTAAACGTATCATGCATTAGGTATAGCCGTGTTTTGTGGGCGGGCGGGTCGGACTAACGTTATACTTGAGGTATAAACGGCGGTAGGAATATATACGTAAGCCGTATGCACGCGGATGGTATTGGTCAGGCAAAATAAATTTTGTTTATATATATATATAATATTGATGACAAGCACGCATGTACGGGTACGATAACCAAAAATAAATTTATACAGGAATAGTGTTGCCGGCGTGTAATGAACGAGGCGTGGAGTGGGGTGAATACGTTATGACAGTCTAGTCTCAAGACCATAGACGACGGAATATGCGATACATACATACATACATACAGGTGAAACTAATATAAGCGTGTTAATAAATATAGTTTAAAAAACTAAAAAAACACGCTTTTAAAGCACGTCGAACTAAAAAGTTAAAAATAATTTTTAAAATAAGTTTAAAATAATTATGAACAAAAAATACTAGTATTATTGTGATAAAAGCGTCGGNTTCTTTAAACACATGTCAAATTAAAGCTTATGTTACATACCATAAATTAAAAAAAAAAATCTTGATCATGTAACTTTTGGAATTATCCACCAATTTTTTAAAAATAAACACAAATTTTGAACTTGTAAGGTTCATAGAATAGGATACCTACTAAGGAGGAGTGAAGGGAGCCCCCCACAAGCTTTTCATGGGAAACAAATTATGGAAAATGATACAAGTACCCAAAATTTTTGGCCCCTCCAATAAACATTTTCTGGATACATGCCTGATAATAAAATACAGATATTATGAATAATTACTAATTTATTGAACGAATATGTGTTAAAACTTTTTATTGTAGACTTAATAACCCTGTATATGGGTGTATATGTATTAATTTAATACTGCCATGTAAATATGAGATATATATGGATGTATTAAATGAGTTTTTTAATGACACAAATGTGTATATGTAAGCGTAAAACTTTATAAATTTTAGATATTAATTGTTTGTGAATATGTTAGTACCTAGAATATTATATTTTGTACATACTGTTTGAGATAATGTCTCAGTCAAAGATGATTGGAAATTGCATCTACTATGGTTTTTTAAATTTTTTATTTATACAGAACCAAATTATTTGAAATTAAATTATTTCATACATATTAAAAAAAATTACTTTTATTTTCGATAATACAGTGATAAATTATAATATATAATATACTTTACAGCTGACCGTGATGCTCGATAACATTTTTTTTCAGATCCACTGTAAAGAAGTTTCTCTACAAAAAAATTATATAAGTGGGAAGCGGTTAGGGAGCATGTATGAACATTTTTTAAACTTGAGTTTATTACACACATGTTATTTTTGTAAATTAATTTACAAAGCTATATAATACACATTTATTAAATAATTAGATAAAGAAATAAGCAACTACATATTATCGGCTACGTAGCGAAATTTCATTTTGATAAATTTTAAAAGTGTAAATAAAAAAGATTCCTATTTAGTATTTTTTGATGTAGAAACACTGTTTCATAATTGACTTTTAACATGAAAACTTTATGATATTCATAAAAATATCATAATTGCTATACAAATAATAAACACAATGAAAGATTATATTTATTTTCGCTCCTCCAAAAAACAAAAATTTGTTTTAAGTATTGTCATGTAGTCTATTATAAATTAATTACGGCTAAACAAATAAGACAATTACTTTGTAGAAACGGTGACAAATAACGATCAAATAAATAAAATAAATTACATAAGAATTTATTAGGTTATTCTACTTATTTATATATTATTAAAAATCAAAACAAAATAATATAATTATTAGAGCTGGATTGATATCAATCAGATTAAAACGATGCACAATTTTTTAATTTTAATGACAAGATCGGACGTCTTGTAAAATAGATCTCTAACTGACTCTCTAACAGTATAAATAAATTAAAGCAAAAATATAATTGAAATTCCATTCGAGATAAATGATGCTAATATGTTTACATTTACACCGAATGTCTTCAAATTTCAAAGATCTAATGACTTCATTTTAGGTACACTCTTTATTGTATGCCAGAAACCAAATTTTAAAAAAGCATCCATTACTGATATTTTTATGTTATGGAGATCTTTTTTGATATCCGCGGATATTTCCACAATAGGTTTTTTTTTTTCAACTTGCGTGTTGTACCATTCAATTACATTCGATGGATTTTGCTGTATTGGTCTACAGTTATTATTCATGAAATCTCGAACATTATTATATAATTCATCGAGTTTTTCGTCTATAAAATTGTCATTCTTGTTATTTGATGAAGCTAAATAATGTACTATGATAACGAATGCAT